TGTGTTGTTCGCAGCAATCTTGCTGTTGTTTAAAGTCACGAGTAACGAAAACTGTGTGCCAGATATAAATATCGCACATTTCAGATGCACCGGCTGTATCTGGGTAAATGAATTATAAAAAGTAATCAATGGGTTCTATTCAAACCAGTTAATGAAAACAAACATCGAAGCCAATGCCGTTAATTAAGTTGGAGAAGTCTCTTAAAATTGGGATACATATAAAAACAAGTTTATAAATAAGAATAAATCAATAAACCAAAACTCTGAAATTTATGACCGGCATCTTATTATATATGTGCTTAGTAATGCGACTTGCCGAAAACCTCCATTACCAGTACGCAGCCTAAGGTAATCTCTCAGGTGGGTTGAATACGGTACGTTGACTTTATCAGGTAGTTTATCTCCAGGCTAACACTTTATTACTATTTTTAAAGCAGAAAACTCCATCTGTGATATAATATTACAAGAAACCAAGAAGCGAACTCCAGTAAGTGAAATGTCATTAAACTATGCGTTTAGCTGTTACTGTTCCGCCTGCGCCTGCTAAGTGGCATTGAAAAATTGAATTTGTGGCGCGGCAACTTTGGGATCCCGCTAAAAGCGGTAGGTGCATTGAGCCGGTAACATTCAGAAACACGAATGACCGCTGCGGGCGAGTGAAATTCGTTGAAAAGGCAGCAGTAACAAAAACATCATCCACACTATTAATGTGAGCAACAAATGAATACTTGGCAAAACAACAACTCGAAGAGCTAGTTGTTTACTTACGCACGATGCACATATGTACGTATAGGCACACGGACAATTGGACGAATTCAAAACGCACTCATGCTTGCAACAGTCGATCGGCCAACAGACACACCGTCGCCGCCCCAAAGCTAGATCTCGTCCAATGATTAATAGAGCAATGCTGTGGCCGTTGAAAGTCCAATCCCACAGAGCTGTGCGTAATCGGTTCAGCTGTCCTGCAACTCATTACATTTGACATCGAGCACTTAATGAAGCTCCTAACGACGCAGATGAGTGCGGTTATGCAATCGACGGGCCCCGCTAATCGATAAGCTCACACACTCGTACTTTCACACCGGCCAACATTTTGTCACTGTGGGGCCGTCAACGTTCATTTAAGCGGGCCCACTAATACCGCCAATACGCATCGCAGCCAGGCTGTGGCTAGTGAAAGTGAAAGGTGAACCGCACATGTGGTGCCGCAAAATATTTGATAAATGAAAAAAGTTGCGCCCCAGTGTGCTCATGCAGAGCATGGAATCATCTGACTTGCTGCATCTTGCCCTTGGGACCCTGTAGCCTTAATATGGACTTAAACTCACCAAGCAGCGGTATACGAATCAAAACAAAAACACAGAAAAAAACGGCATCCCCAACGGCAATCTTGCCAAGGTCGTTGCATTGAGCATCTGCAAAATCCAGTTTATATACTTCTCAACCTACAAAGGAGACAATAAAAGCCGAAACCGATACAAGCGAACCTTGTGTCCGGTCATCGATTGAGGGGACACTGTTTTTACTTTCATTCTCGACTGAGCCAGCCCATGTTTATCAATAACTATGTGAATGCCGTAATTTATGGTGCAGACTCCTTGGATATAAGAAACTGAGCACAGTATGCAGGGCGTAACTTGACGGAATCGCATTTTCCTTTGCAGGTCCGGCCAAAATACAAAACGATGAAATATAAAAGAGGCCTTTCTAAATTACTCGTTAACATAACCTTGAGTTCGAGAACAAGCGCAAGTTATCGCGATAATGAAACAGGCCTAAAGCCCTTCATATTATTGCATTTTTTTGAGTTATTGATATTGATATTTTGTCTTAATTTACGAGTTATATATTTCCAAAAATCATTGTTGCACAAATCACTTCAAATTTGCAATACTGGCCACAGATGCAATCTGAACGTATGGGACAGGTGTTATGTGACGCAAGCAGCTGGGCACCGTATAGAATGGGACAGCGATGAACCGCAGTCTGCCTAATCAATTACAAAGACACGCAGCTTGGGTGTCGGTTCGTTGAATGCAACCTGCCGCAATGTGAAGCACGCATAAAATAATCATAAATATTAAAACATTTTACGCAATCCAAACACACATCTAACTGTCAGGCTGGCTTTGTGCGGTGAAAAAAAAAGAGAGCTATCTGGCCGTAACAGGGCAGGTGTGAGAGTGTTAAGTGGAGCAGCGGCTTCGGGCCCCATTTAATTCCACGATGCGAACATAGAGACGTCAAGAGCTCTATTCACATCGGTTATGAACGTCGTCGGGCTGAGGCAATGCTTTAATAGATTGCTCATTGCGCAGCGAATATAATTTGCAGCTGATACACGGTAACATGTGCATTTCAAGGTGAGTAGCACCATTAACACCGAGCTCGTAAGGGCAATCGTTAAGTATCGGGAAGTTGGGTGTTTGCGTTTGGTGGTCTATTGGTACTCCTCGTACTGTGCCGACAACCGTTTCAACTTCCAATTCAACGCAAATTAACTGGAGCCTTTCGAAATCCAGGGATTACCATGGCTGTGTGCAAATTTATTCAAGCTTGCCTCAGACTCACTGGAGTACTGCTCGAAAGCGAAAGTGCACCGCTGTGCATGCAAAACGAAGTTGCGCCATGTCAGTGCTCGTACATGCTCGTATAAAGCGTTCAGATTACAGTCGAAGACCTAGCCGAGTAATTTAATGACGATCTTCCGCATGCGGCAAGACTTTCGCACGGTAAGCATTGACACCGCCTGCGGTAAAACATAGTTAGGCGGAGGCGTGGGCTCCATGTTGATTTCCGATTTGGCAATGACACTTTGATAATGATGTTTGTGTTATCGACTGATCTCTTCTTTTCAAAACACACGCATTTGTTTAGGTCTTTGTAAGTTCTAACAACTTTCGCCGATGGCCTTTTACCGCTCCGTCTCGATCCCATTTTTTCGGGCATCAGCTTTCCCATTAATACCGTCACCACATTAAATGTTTTTACATTTACGCTGAACATTTTCAGCAAAACCGCATGTAAATACTTCCGCTAGGGCATTTCTGAGGGTTTTGAAAAGCCAACGAAGGCCAGACACAAGACTAAGACCTTTCCTCAGTTTGAAGAAATGACATAGTTCGTCGAAATGGAAAGTATTGTCACTGTTCCTTTCCTTAGCTGGTTTTTTATGGGTTTCTTTAGCTTTTTATTTATTTTATAATGCTTTGTTGTTTCGGTTTTATTGTGTCATCATTGACAACCCGCTGTCTCAGCTCGTTTGTTTAGCTTTCTTGCCATATTACCACTTGACTAATAACTGTGGGGTCGGTTGCAGCACATTCTCTTCTACTTAAATACCATCAGTATCCACTTGATTTATGAAGTCCACACGATTTAGTCATGATATTTTTTGCGGCGCAATGGTAATTGTTTAATTTTTGAAGTAACGTGTTGTTAAAGCGACATTAAATTATAATGAGTTTTCCTCTTAAACTTCCAACTAATTCAATTCGTATAAAATAAATTAAGTCGAATGTGTGAAGCGAAAGTGGAAAGCGCAATTCAGCAGGGAACACTGTCGAAACATTACGCAGGGTAGGTCTTCATGAGCTTAGTTTCAAGTATGTACATTGGTATATATACTCTGCACATTCGTGCATGAAATTTTAAATAAATCAATTTGGAAACAAAGTTTTCACCATATGATTTGTGTTTTGTTTTGTAAGAAATAATAATACCAGCTGGCTGGAGAGTTCTTTGTAACCGCTCACACGTAATCTATAAACATTTGTTTTTTCCAACATCTCCTCTTTTTCTTTTGCCAAATTTTGCATATTTAAATGTGGACGAACAATTAAGTGAACTGTTTTGTAGATTATTAACAGTTATTATAACCGCAATTTGCTCGGTTACACCGACACACTCACTCACTTAGCCAAACACTTATTCAACCCATTCATGCCATTCGAGTCAGTGTGTTGTATGCAATTAATATCTGTGCCATAAGCTGGTTGGTTGGCTGCTGGCTGATTGGCATAACTTACATAACTCCATTACCATTACCCAGCAGTTTGTTGAGAGGACAACCCGGGCTGACCAATAGCTTGACACGGTTTGCTTTGTTATGCTCGAAATGTTCGATTATGCTATTGTTTGCTGGTAAACAGAGCAGGTGATCAGACCGTATATTTACCTACATACTTAATTAGCTATCCCCTTATGTGAATACTTTTACTCTTATATCTATTTTCATTTTACCGCGCGCCGTCTACAAGCGATTAGTCGCCCAAATAAATATAAACTTTGGTCGCGAGCAACATACATACTCGTTAACCATATAACTTGGTGCCCGGAGTTGCTCGCGCATGAGCTCGGAGCAAGTGCCTGGCAGCTGGTGGTTTGACTTCTTCCAAAATGATTGAATTTGACATCAGACTTTTATTTGAGTTCAGAGGAATCGGCTGGGACAGAGGCTAAAACAAGTTTGCCTTCTTTGCGGAACAGAATATTTCCATACCAAAGTCCCCAATATGTTTGAGGTTAAGCAGAATAGGCGTTAATCATGCACATATCAGCATTCCATTCAACCAAAGACACAATACACAAAAGAGCGGACAGCTCTCGAATTCTCTCCGACTCTTACTTTCATACGAGCGACTTAAGATGAGGTAACATCTCCTGTTGTGCCCCTCTATTCAACTTATCTGTTTTATTGATGGCAATCCTTCAAGCAAGTACCATGCGAAGGAAAGTGAAACATTAACAAGGTGGAATTTAATTAGGAGAGTTCATTGACTTGGCAACCAGTTTTTTATCTGCCTTAGTAAACTGACCAGCAAACTGCCAAAATTGTTCAGGTGCTTATTCGATCCGATTCGGATGGATTAGGGACTGCTATTCCATTAGAATCTTCCCTAGCTCTAGTGGGTACCGTGACTCAGCTCGGACTAGCAAGCCCTCTATTTCTATTTCAGTTTCCCCAGAGAGTCCTTCATTCAAGTGGCATTACTCACCTGTTTTGAATAGCAGTAGGCTCAATCCCAGCAGCCACAGAATGCTTAGTCGACCTGATAAATACTCCATGTTGCAGGTATTGCGCGTCGTCGTAACTGTAACTGTAAATTTTCTTGATGTGGTTGGTGCAGTTGCGTTTTGGGGCTAGTTCACAGAATTTAAAATACCAATAGGCAAGCTCAGGTCGAAAAGAGCTGGGGGCGCGGGCCGTGGGGCAGCTGAGCCGCAGCAGTGGCAGTTGCAGTTGCCGTTGCCGTTGAGAAAAGCTTTGTTTTGGTGCATACAATTGCTAAATAACTAAGAAGGCAGTGTCGCAATGATTCAATTTAGATTTTTTTCGAGCCTTGTGTTACAATTTTCTTGACTGGGTTTTGTTTCTGCCGCGGCTGCGGCTTTGTGGCTGGGACTGCACTTTGTTTGGACGTGTTTGTATTGTTGTTGCAAGTTGATTCAGTTGCTGCCCCTATTATTTGAGCTTTCGTTTGGCTTTAGACAACGCGACGATGCATAGTTCACACACACGTTCACAGATTACAACACTTAGTTTTTCCCCATTGCTTTTGGTAAGCGCTTTTTCAGTTCGGTTTTTCAGTTTTCAGTTTTTCACTTGAGCCGCTGCAATGACCGCCAGTTTGGTTGCCAGTTGCCATGGAAAATATGGCTAGGCGAAATGCAAAGAGACGATCAAAACGAAGATCGACCGCTTGCTGTGATTCAGATTTCCCATACGGTATTCGCGGGCACTACCAAATTGGAAAACTATGTGCAAGCTAGTCTGGAGCGTGGAGAGGAAAATGCGAAGCAAAATAAAACAAAACTTGCACGTTTTTATTTTGTTTGTTGAGGCTTGTATATTTAGCGAAAACTTTCTTTTCAACGCAAAGCGAGCCTACCGACACACACGCTCGAGCTCGAAGACCGAACTACAAAATGTAGTTGACTGTGCTTTCTATGTACGATTTTTGACCGAGTGCAATGTTTAGTTCGAGGGCTTTACTTATATTTCAGCGCGTTTGAGGAGAAAATTGGCAAAATCGCCTCGAAACTAGCCGCGGCTCAATCCAATCCGTTCAGTCAGTCGACAAGTCCGGGTGACCCTCGAGCGACTCTTCTTACCGTGCGCTTAAGCGAACCACACGTCTTAATCGAAGCAACTATACAGCGCGACTGTGCGAGGTGAGCGTCTCGAGACACTCGGCAAGCCAACAGCCAGTCTGTGCCAAGTTTCGATGCCAGGCTTTTGAGCCAAGTTCAGTCTGAGCCGTTCTCCGTCTGTTACTCTGCAGTAACAGACTGTTATAGCTGATGTTGCACTCACGCTGGCACGCTTGTGTCTCTTAAGCTTTTGAAAGTAAGAGTAAAGCTAAAGCTTGTGCCATTGCAAACCAGACTAGCTTCGAGCATGTGGGCGCTTCACTGTTTCCACTGTTTCTGGGCTGCTTGGGCTAATTATTTTACACCAATTACTTCGGAACTGCAGCTCAGATCGGTTTTCCTTCTGAACTCGAGCACTCGGCTGAGAACTGAACCCACAGTTTCGATCATTTGCAAACCAGTAACTACCACAAGGCGGGTTACCTGGGTGGTTTTCTCGAACACTGACGAAAACCAGCACACCACCAGCTCCGCTGCAGCCGGCGCCTTCCCTCTCTGGCCAGCGGGGGTCGGCCTGGCTGGGCAACTATTTACCATGGCGATTGTGAAATATTGTTACAATTTTAGTTTTAGCTGCCGGTTTGCTGTTCGCTTACGGAGCATATTTGGGAGTTGAGACCAAAGAACGCTTAGTTTTTTCATTTCGTTTTCATCCCCACTTATGTCCAGCCACAGATTAGACCTGCTGGAGTACGTCTACTCGTCTGGAGTTAATCGTTCTATGAATAAGTTACACCCAGGCCAATTGTCCTTGGGGAACTCGAACTGCCATACCCCGTGCATAGCTTAACGCTAGCCTAGGTAATTTCGAGCCATAGAATCGAAAGTGAAACCGAGTTGGAAACACGCCAACGACCAAGAACTGGGCCAAAGCAGCCAACCAAAGCCAAGCCTAAGCTGCAAAGCAGCAGTCCGAGCCAAGTAAAAGGGGCTCTGGTGAACGGCTGCCCCAACTTGGTGGCTTGAGCAAGGCATGAGCATTAATACAATTCTGTATTAATTTATTTATTGCTGGATTGTGTTTCACACGATTTATTCTGTGAATGGAGGGCGAAGCGTATTCTGCCTCTGGACATTTATACATTGCTTAGGAAGTTGTATAAGTTTCACAGTTGAGCCGCCACGAGGCCAACTAAGGGCCTTCATAATTGTATTTCTAAATTCTCGTCACTTGGAAGTTAATTTCAATTCGATATTCCCAAAAAGAAAAGTATTTATTCGCGCTAATGAATTTAAATAATAGGTAATGACTTGGTTTCCCGAAAAAATTGTTATTTGCCAACGTGGCATATAAGCAATATGCATGCGGATTGGTGTTAGTTACAACAGTCCACTGACAGTTAGGTCACCCTACCCGCGACGTTGTCGTGGTTTGACAGGTAGTTATTAGGTTTAATAGACAATTTCACAAACGAATTATTATAATGCGGGCTAATGTCTTAATTACACAAAATGAGCCAACGGTCGACACCCGAAATCTTTATGAGTGCTTACAAATGTCCTATAATTACTCGTTCGTTGTCCCTCATACCTTGGTTTTCTGCAGTGTTTCGTCCAGCGGCGCAAAATGCTTGCCACTCACTTTGTGAATAGGCGGTGCAATTTATCAACGCGTAATAATCCCGTTTCCGTTATGAAGTATTTTGGGTTTTTCATACTGTCAGTTGAACGCTTTTATTAAAAAGAAACCCGTCCAAAGGCTGCCATTGGTTGGCACGCATATAGACAAATATTCGTGCACCTTGGGTTGCAAATTGAATCATTTACGGGTAAGTCCAACCGTAAAATGTCCGATAAATTGGTGGCCTTGAAAACTTCCCCATTACTTCTCCTATAAAGAGCTTATAGCCTGGTAAGCCTACGAGTAAACACATACCTGTACTTACACATGCACTCTGAATCTGTTAGGGCCTTCGCTGGGGTTTGTTCGAAATACTTTTCCATTGTGTCCGCCTCTCGATTAATAAATGGGAGTGTTGCACTTCAGAAAAATACAAAATAATGGTCCCGTAATTGAAAAAATCATTGTCGAATGGACCGGTAAAAGCTTAATTAAATTATATATTCGTGAGGGCTAACACGAAATTCAATGCATTAAGTTGAGTTTGTAAAGTGAGTGACAAATCAAAAATTTTAATAGTCAATTTTGGTTGTCAGAAAATTATAAATGAGACTAAGTAGAGTAGAAACTTCGATACACAAAGCCATAACGGTGTTAGCTTGCCTTGAACATTTTAAACTCCATGGATTGCCTGATCGTCACTTAATTTGTATTACTTTGATAGCTGGTCAGTTGGTGACTTTTAATGCTTAGCTATCTCTGAATTAGGTGCTTGGCACAGCTAGTCAACGTAAATTTACTTGCCCTTGTCAATACAATTCGACTTCGACTACTTGTAGTCCAATTTATTGCAGCCGTTAACTCAATGATACGCAAAATCAGTTTGATTGTCATGAAATTCCTTCACATACAATTTTTTTATACTTTAAGGTTTGGTGAAGCATTTTGAAAGTAATTTTCAGTTAAATGACTCCAATTCGGGCACGCACATAGTTTGCCTTTCTAATCAAAATTAAATTAATGAAGTATGTTTCAATCGTATAGAAGTATGTACAAGCCAACACAGCAAACCATAGCCAGCTGCCTATTAAAACAGGTTGATTTACTTGTATCTAAATATTTGTCTAGCTTAAAACCAAACAATTTCCGACGTTTCTTTTTAATCCCTATTTGCATTTTATTTGTACACTTGTTTGACAAGTGGTTTTCTTATCCGGTTCAGATGTAAGAAAACGAAATTCTAAATTTTGTAAATATATCTTATTATGTGCTCTGTATTACAAAACTGAGTTCTTAACTTTGTGTTAATGCGATTTGTCGAATGTAGTGCTCAAATAATAGTAACTACTGGTAACTGGCTGACCTTCCCCTTCTCCAACGCTTGGCGTAATGGTTTCACATAGGCGATAAAAGAGCACAGAAGACTGGGGAGGGGAAAACGGTGGGTCGACCAAGGAAAGGCGGAGGGGGCTGCAGCTTTAAGCAAATGAATTGTACAGATCAAGCTCAACGTAAATGGTTGGCGACTAGAACAACCGTCAAGTTGGTATTACCGGAATCGCTGGACACGCCTTAGTTCGCAGAATGTCGACGGTAAGGTTTTTGCATGATCAACAGCCTAGCCTCAATTCGTTTTTCTGCTCTGATCGACTTTTAATTTTTCTGTTTGACGTGCAGAAATGATCAAATAAATTGAACAAATGGTTTGCACTTTCGAAAATCGGAATAGTTGATTAATTTGAAAGGAATCAATCTCTACGGAGGCTTGTATATATGTATATATTGTCGGTACAAAAGCGTAAAATTGTTTACGAAAATTTACATTAACTTGCTTTATCTTGTAATTAGCTTTGGCAAGACTAGTCTTCTATTAATTGTTGTCTTGCTAGTTTTCTAACGTTTATAAAATAGTTTATAGCTTATATGTTAATGGTTGTCTTGCTGGTTTTTTAGTTGTAATAAAATTGTACATAGCAGCACCATTTGAATAGGATAGGAGACATATTAAGGACAGAGTCGACGTTAGTTGTGATGCAGCCACCCTGTACGAAGCCAGGCTCGCAGCCAATTTAATAGTATTGTCACACTTTGTCGCTCGAAGTTGAGAAACAACGAGCAGTACTGTAGGTTGAATAAACCGGATTTAAATGACAAACTGTAGCAGTATTCAACTACAACTCCCAGCCACAGCTCCGCTGCCTTTTCAATTTCAACACGCAAAAGTATACTACCTCAAGGCCGTTCTGCCAGCGAGACTATTACCAACCTGGAAATCTCCAACGGGGCACCGACAGTCCTCTTATTGCCCCAGCAAGTGAGGATAGAGTTCCGCCCGAGTCGTCGCAATGCGGAAGAGACATGAATTACTGGTTATTGGCAGAACCTCCAACGACCTGCAGTGGCACTTACTTCCTCCTATAGGCAACGTCAAAGCCAACGCCTCAAACAAGTAGCACTACAAGGGCCCGTTACACAGTCTCGGACAGTCAGTGGTCAGACAAGTTCAAGTGCGTGAAATGCCTTAGTTCGATGGGTGCAAATGCAGCTTGGCCAGAAGAAAGTCATGCGGACACCGCGTTTTTTCTGCCTCTGGCCAATTTGGCTTGCTTTCCAAATGCACAATACAAGGGCTACCTTGACTGTCAATGCATTACAAAATCGGCGAACTGGTACCTTCTGACTGTAACGAATGAGCATTAGCCGGGCAATCGGTTTGTTGTTTCGCCATCAAACCGACCCGCCCACAATTGTGAAATGCTTGCTCTACATTCTGGCCCAACTAAATCCGTACAGTAAAAGACACAACTCTTTCTTTCATTGTTGGTTAGTGCTGTAAGCTTCGTTTGGTACTCACTTTACCAGTGGAACTGTAACAAATTGTAAATCAAATTGCTTGAGAGTTTTGTTGCCCTCTGTGTGAGGTAATACCCAATTGCTTTTACTAAACCGGCAGCACTTTATGAGGTCGGGTTGTCATAAAGTCCGCTGCTCTCCTTTCTCTTTATGTAAATAAAACCAAGTTCTGATAAATACAAAGTAATGTAGTCTTAAAATATGCAACAAATTTAATAAAGTTTATCATAGTTCCTAAACTTATAATCATTATATGCTTCTAATATCGGTTAAGTTTATTTACATAACATTCCCCTAATCCAAAACCGCCAGTTAGACTAAAACGCCAATGCGTTGGTGCGACCAATGCGCTGGATTTGTAGTAAATTCGTGAAAACGGCGACAACTGGCGCGAAAGGCAGTACACGATCCCAAGCCAAAATTGGGAAGGCAAGACTGGGCCAGCAAGCACCTCAGGCTTTGGTCCACAGCAGCCAGATAGATCGCCGCACACCAAGCTGGTCATGTATTTCGGGCGTGCAGCTTTTAAGCAGTTTAATTACCTACTGCTGGGCATGCTAACTGATTTACTGGCGGGCCTTACAATGGCTAAAAAACATAAATGCAACTCCAGGTATGCTAACGTTTTTCGACCATGCTAAGTACTATACTATATTACACATTGATAATTTTAATATCCTTGTTCAAAAATGAGCCCTTGATCGTGTTGACATCTCCCCATGTCCTGTAATCGAAATGTATTTAAACTGGTTCCTAATTACACGTGTTTATTTAAGTTCAACATTCTACATTGGCATTTCGTCAGTGGAAGACTAATCGTAATAAAAAAGGCGTGTTCTTTGATGACTCTTCCTAAATTAGGCACATTCCAGCCATCCTACGCCCCACCCAAGCAACCCAATGTGCGCGCAATGTGCCAAATAAAAATTGTTCGATACTATCAAATGGAGTGCAATTGTTTTGGGGGTATGATTCAATTGATGATGCATTATGACAAACCAACTTTGACATACTAAAGGCGCGGCTCTGCCCGACCAACTCCATTATCAATTCCCTTCATAGTTTGGCTCGGAGTATTCGTAGCCACCGGCCTATGCAAAATATTTTGCACAATGTGCTATCCGCACCCAGCATCAGGGTCTAGCATTCAATGCACATTATGACTCGAGTTGTTTGCAGTGCTGGCGAGAACTCGGCTCTACAGCTCGAAGGCTGAAAGTCAAAATATGTATACACACACTTGGGTAACTTATTTTGCCATTGTCTGTTATCGCTACCTATCCAACTTAAAAATCACAAACTGCCGTTCAAAATATTACTGTGGCGAAGTCTTTTTATTTGAGGCATACATTTGTTGTCTGTTTTATAAGTTTATAGAATATTTTGGATGAAATTTGCGTTAAACATAGTTTGAATATTACGACTTAATTAAACTGTAGTTATGGAATTATAAACAAGCGTTTGACTAAATTTGGCAGCCTAAAATTATGCTTCAAAAAATATGTAAATTTTCATAATAAAATAAAAAAAAATGAAAATAAAAAATTCCTTATTGGTACGCGGTTCTCGACCGCAATTGGACAGCGCGAGTGCGACAAAGATGTGGCACGCAGAATATTGTGGCTCTGAAATGTTGTTATTAATTTCCATATCAGTTCTTTGAAGCTCCTATTCTAATGCGTTAAAGACCAAAATCGATCGTCCAACTTCAATTGAAGAACTGTTTTTAATTTAAAAGGATTTTCAAATGATTGATTCCTTCCGTGACTGATTTTGAAGTGTGGGGGAATAGAAGAAGGGCAAGGAGCTAGAACTAGATGAACTAAATGAAAAACATCTTTGCGTATCCATTAATTAGGTGTCCTTAACTATTTCAAATGTTTGCCATTTTCTCTCCTTTTTCTTCGCTTAATTTTTATATTATCCATTCTCATCCTTCTCTTTTCCTACACTTTTATCAAGCTCAAAAATGAAATATTTTTGAATCAAGGCGCCATGTGTTCTTCCTCTTCATGAACATGAGTCATATTTTTCCTAATCTGGTAACACTTTTAATTTCACAGAAATTTTAATATATGGTTTGGGTCCAGACTAAGTTCGATAAGCTCCAGTTTTTCAACCCAACTCCCTAGAGGGCGCTCCTCTCTCAAATCCAGTTTCCCCTTTCCACCACATTGGCGTGATCAAATGTTAGATTCCGCCGATTTTCTAACAGAAATGTTAAGATGTAACGTAAATTCCGAGAATTTTAAAATATGGTTGTGGTCTTTGCTTTAATGTAATCCAATAAAAGAGCCGATACACACACCTGGCATAGGCGAGATACCCTCCCTGACAACGAAACACTTTCCACATATGGACAAAAGAAAAACTTTGGGTGGAACCTGATTTTTTTGTAGAGCGAGACAAAAAACCTTGGTATGGAATCTGGATTTGTTAAAAGCGAGACAAAAAATATTGTATGGAATCGTGATTTTTCAAAGAGCGAGACAGGAGAACACAAAACAAAAAGTTTTTTGAAAAAATAAAAAATTTCTAAATGGTATTTTATTTGAAAAAGTGATTTAAAAAAACGAATTAAGATCAATGACAAAATCTTATTATAAAAATCTTAATGAATGCAATACTTAATTAAGTATTTCAATGTTTAAACCATAATTGATTTGCAAATTAAATAAGCTTAAATAGGAAAATAGTTAAAACTATCAAAAACAATGGAAAAATGACAATAAATTTCTCATAGCTAAAAGTGTTTTGTTTGTTCCCAGTTCAAATTTACACCCGAGAGATCGAGAACTACCAAAGCTTACAATCGGGTCAATTTTATTTAACATTACGAAACTAGTACAGAGAATGTACTTGTAGTGTGTCTAATTAATCAGTTCAGAAAGTTCCATCCCCCAAAATGTACCAATCATCCGGATGGTCCCGTGCATCTACGGATGTATACACCAAGTCATCGGCGGTAACTTCATCACCATCACCAGCATCGTCATCTCTCTGTCCTTGTGGGGCGGACATCACCGATGTAAACAAAGCCTAAACAGGCACTGCTCAAAAAATATTTTTTTAAATATAGATGTAGAAACTCGCATTTACATGAGCAAATGTTTTTCGGCCAGGATTTAAAGTATTTAAGCAGGAACACTTTTGTGGTCCCAGCCAAGAATACTCCCTTTTTAAAAACGAAGAACCCACACATGTGCACCCTGCGACAAGACACGTCCGTAGCCATAAGCTGAGGGGCGCACATTATTTATATTTCTATGTACCAAGTATACATTGTTACATACAAGGTTGTCTGTTGGCTTTTTAAGGCTAGCGTTTTTACAATGCAAATAAGGCGGAGTAAGGAGCCCCAACCCTGAACACCCTCCTTCCTCGAGTGCAGTTCACGAGCGATCTAAGGGTATTTGCCCCGCACATTCTTGAAAAATAGATATGCGTTTTAAAATTAATCTCGAACTTCTTTAAATTGTTCTTGTTACTTGGGAAATGCTATTGTTTTGTTTCCATTTTTTAATAGCTAGTACATTATTAAATTATTTAAATTCACCTCTGTGCTTACCGCCCCTTAATTAATAATAGTTTATAATTTGGATCCTTCGAATTCTTGAATGTGTTCAATTGAGAACAATTCAAGTTCTAGCGTAATGAGACATCTTGTTTACTAATTCCTTGCATACCTTAGGGCGAAGGGATGCATATGAAACAAAAGAATAGTGCATACACACATACATGTACTAAAAAAACATGTTACATAAGAATGTATGTATGTATAGAGCGCTTAGCATAGTTAAGTTAAAAATTGTGTATGCTTTTTAAGGTGAACGTGTTCAGTGCAAGTTACAATAGAGAGTTTTCAAAATAAGCTTATCTATAAGCTAAACAGTATTGTTTTGTTTAGACTATACAAGTCCATGACGGATGGTCTGAATTCGAAATAAAAAATTGCGTCCATTGACAAATCAATAATAAAGGAAAATCAAAACGTTTGCCTACTTATTCGTTTTATGTCAAAATGGAGATACTGAGTTTCCACGACATAAAATGGCCGATTTGTCCGCATTGCTGATCCACAAGAAAAATTGATAAACCACAGTGGACCGGATCATCTAAGTATGCCCACGCTTTGGCGTAAAACGTTTCTCTGCACACACGAACATGTACATACATACATACATACATGCGGAAAAAAGTGTATTGCGATAGCAAGGAAATAGAAACATAAGGCGAAGAAAGATCAGAGGCACAAGCACAAAAGCGAATCGCACACACACCAGCACCAACACTCGCAAACGGAGCGACAACTAGTTTTGGTGTATGTGAGAAGAGTGCTGCAGTCAGACAAATCGACTGCCCAGTACCCATTAGTTCTGGGTACTGTGATTGGAGGCGTATCACCTGTTGATAAACAGTGTCAGCCGTACTTAAGTTTACGTAGTGCACATTTGTGTAACTACTTGAGCAAATCCAGCCGAAATGCACCGTTTTTAAAAGCTTGCAAAGGCCAAGCCTGAAACAATTTTCATAGACCCGGGGTCGCAAGAAAAACCTGGTAGAAAGAAAAACCAACCGAATACAAATACGCCATTGAGGCCACATGGATAGAGCGGAAAACTGGCTGTGCGCCATGAAACAGACGGACACCAGGCGCTCACACACACGCACCAGCGCTCGAAAAACAGAAACAAAAATCGTGTAGGTGTGCAACACAAGCAACAATCAGGCAGCACGCACACCGTTGCCGGCCAACGAACGACGTAGGTGAGGCGAGAGCAGAGAAGAGGAAGAGTACAGTAAGCCGTCGGCGCGTAACTGTATGGGTGGGTGGTGAGTGTATGGGAGTGTATGGCAAACGGCAGCAACGTTTGTTTCGCTCAGTTTTATTTCGTTTTTTCGTCGCAACGCAAGTGCTGGTGAAATCGGTGTGGCAAAAGTCTATTTCAAGTGAACAAAACTACTGCACTGCGCAACTGAAATACGCCTGAAAAGTATTGAAACAAAGAGTTTCAGGGGGAAAACACATTTTCCTCAAAAACGTAGCATAGTGAGTGCGGACAACGTGAAAAGAAGAAAGCAAAATGTGAGTTTGAGAGCACGATCAATTTCTGTCCCTCGCTCTCTCAGCTGCGGAGCTGCGGACTTGCGCTCTTTGCCTTCAATGTTCAGTTCAATACAGTTACAGTTACAGTTTGTTATTATTTGTTTCCCACTCTGCCATTTGTTTTGCGCTCTTTCGCGACGACTTTCTCAAATTCGCACTGCAAGTGTACATTTTTTGAGGCGAAGTGTGTGCAAGGCAAGCCGCATTATAGATGGCAGTGTGTGTGGAACGCAAAGTGCGCGATTTACACTGCAACCGTGGGAGATTTTAACAAATGCAATTCGTATTTTGGCAGCGCCATGTTGCGTGTGGAGCTGTGAGTTCGGGAACACAAGGCGCAGCGTGAGACTCCGAGCATGGATGCTCAATTCGAGCACTTGTGCCGCATTTGCGCGGCCAACACGAAGAGCAAAACCAATTCCGTGGTCGAGAGTGTGTTTATCTTCAAGACACAGGGACTGAAGGATAAAATCTCGAGACATCTCTACCTTAATGTAAGTAAATGGAAAGGCAGTTTTAGTACGGGCCCTGGAAAATACCAAAACCGTTGCGCCCCAGCCCTGGAGGTCACTACTGAGCGCAAAACTTGAACATTTGAGTTCTGCGGATTCAGTCAAGGAAGTGTACAGGGAGAAACCCTGTAAGATGGCTAAGACTTACAAGCTTCCCGTTCGCTCAATTTCAGGTGGCTGAGGAAGATCCCCTGCCAAAGGTGCTTTGCAAGTCCTGTTACCGACAGGTGGAGGCCACGGCATCGCTCTCGAATATAGCCAAGCACACTCAGCTCGTGTTCCGTGACTTTCTACTGAGCACACTGGTAAACTGAACTTTTGTCTTCCGCTTTGAAACCCATAAGCTCACTACCGATTATAATTTTTAGCCAAAGAATGCACGGGAAGCAGCTGCCGCTCGGATCAGCGTGCCACCACCAGCCCCCCAAATCCCTTCCCTGAATGAGGAGAACCCACCACATGTTCATGAATTCCGTCCCATAATGCTGAGCCGAGTACCGGAGACCACTATCACAGTGTCCAAGCCCCAGGCGGGCGGTCGCCCAAACGCAGAGCTTGTGGTGGCCAGTAAAGCCAGGGAGGCACACCGGGAAAACCCCTTGGGAGTTGCATCTTCATCCTCTGGGATTGGCCAAGCCCCCGGAGCAGTGAAGAGTACTATAGTGCCGGCGCGACGCAACAGCGTTTTTTTGGATACTCGGTACTGCTCGGCTCCAATGTCGATCGCACAGCGTTCTATGCAGCATATTCCCTCATTGGTGCCCTTGAATTTTGAGGCATCACATTCAAATGTTACGAAAAAGACTCCAGACACAAACATATCGCCGGCAGGAGTAATTAACTTTATTCAGACGCATGGACGGATTACTGGCAATGTGTCGGTGGCTGGAAAGGACGACAGTACCGGGACCAGTAACCGAGTGGACTCCGGAAATGCGACCACAGCGTCCGTTTCTCCAACTTCTAACGTCGGTATCGGAGGAATGCCCAATCTGGCCAGTAATGTGTTTCAGCAGAGAAGTAGAAATCTTAAAAATACACTGAACAACATTAAGGCTATGCGTAGCGGACAGGTATCTTTGCTTAAGTCGGCGCAGAATCGAAATCCTGTGGACGATATAAGGCCACAACTGGTTACAACTACCATGGTGCCCCAATATGGAGGAGAGCCTTCGGTAGAAGAAGCGCTGCCGGAGCACATGATCTTTGCGGCTCCAAAAAAGAAACGGGAGGATGAAGAACTTGTTGTTCAAACGGTTCCGCCAAAGCTAAAGAAAACTATACCAAGTGGAAGTAAGACAATTCCAGCGACCCTTGACTTAACTTCAGCTGTTGACTCGCAAGCTTCATCTCCGACAAAGTCGATGCCCATTGTAAAAAGCCTCACTGATGCAATTTCCCTTGGAAGCGTTATAAGGGATCCAGACTTATTGATGCTGATTCTCAAGGCACTGAAGTGGCCAGTGACAGCAGAAAATTGCGAAGAACAAATGACACGTTTGAAAAGTTCAAAGTTCGCTGTTATTATGTCTGACAACAACCTCCTACAGGACACGGATCTCACACAACTTTTGGGTCCGTATTTGGCCCCCATGCTGCCGGTTGTTCACCCACAAGATCAGCCTTCACTTTCTTTACCTATCGCGTCCACGTCCACGAGCACTTCCTCGCAGGCGGCAAAAGACGTACTAAAGCTTGCTGACTTGTCCAGCGCAATGCCTTACAAACTGCCACCAGAAACGTCGGTTCAGTTGGTGCCTTCCAGTCCCACGGAGCAGGAGCCTCCGCCACTGCGACACAAAAAGGCGGTTACCGTTTCAACAGTAAAACGTCACCAACGAAAGATGCGTGTTCGAGACTTACCCGCTGGGGATAAGTCGGTTCCAATTACGTCGGTGTCAAGTTCAAATGCAGCTCGTGTTAGTAACGAATTATCGAATATCAATGCTATGCTCATTTCACAATTCGGATCAAGTCCGGCCGACGCGCTGAACGAGGCGCTTATCTCATTGTTTAAGAAAAAACAACAAGAATCGAAAGACCAGAATCGGCGTCGTAGTGGTTCTGCCAGCGTAGTTAATTTGGAGGATATTGTACTGGTCGAGCCACAACCTCCACTAGAAGCCGATCCACAGACTCCGGAATACGTCGAGAACGACTGCTTTTCCCCGCAAGCTATAACTGCAGGATCACGACAAATTTTTAAAAGGCGCAAGACCATCATTCATTCCTCGAGGCAATCTGAATCTGCAGTGCCTAAAAAGGGTGAAGCTCCTAGTTTGAAAAATCCAAAAGATATATGTCCCAGTAAACAAGCGATTGTATCAGGACAATCAAAGAAAATTGTAACTGAGGAGAAATCGTCAATTAAAGAATCTACGAGTGAGCCTTCCCAGGCACCCACTAGCACCGTTCCAGAAGCCACATCCGACCCCAACGCTATTGCCACAAATGCGGAAGAACATCCCAAAGTTTCTGAATCCGCCCCAGATAATGGGGCCAGTGAGGGTAGTGATGAGAGCAAAGCAGGCTTGGTAACCAATCGCAAGTCGGAAGTAAAGGCTGTGCTAGGCCAGAAGCTGCTAGAGGCGATTGGTCTCCCTCAGCTTGGAAAGGACGTAGCGCCTGAGAGCTCGCGGGATACCCTCAGAAGTGCGCTGAAGCGCTCTATAAAACAGGCTCAGGAGCAACAGCGTCAACTAAAGCGTGGCAAGCATGAAGAACCTGTGAAGCAACTAGCCGATTCTACGACTAAGCTAAGCGCGGCAGAATCAGCAGATGAGCATAAGAAGGCCATTGCTGAACGGGAGCTTGCTCTGCTGAGTCGTGGCTCAAAAGCTGGAGAAGAAAGCAAGATTTCCGTTAAAGAGTGAGTTGTACATGTTATTATATGGATTTGCATTTCATTTCTTTACCAAATTTCCAGTGACAAGTCGGAGCGAACTGATGTTAGTTCTTCCTCGTCTCGAAACCGCCGAAGCCGTAAATCAAAGACAGATGCTACAGTAGAAGATTCTGGTGATGAAGAAAAAAAAACTAATAGGTGGGATGAAGATGACGACTTGCCATTAAAGACTGATGCAGAAAAAGCTTCGGAACGGAGTAGCAGCAGTAGCAGCAATCGTCCGACGCGCACTAGTAAAACGATGTCGAAGTATTATAAGGGACCATCTCCTAAATCACAGCATGCCATGGGTACGCGCTCAACACGGCAGCGCTGAGATATTCTTTGCCAAAAGCAAATCGGATTTTACTTCACGTATGAAATATGTGGAATTATTTTTGAAAAATTTAAAATACATAGCTTAAGTCCCTTTATGATACAAGTTTAACTGTGTACAATGTACACGCAAATTTTAAAACTATTTTAATTATATTATCACGAACATTAGCAGTGTGTGGAGTTCACAAACCGTATTGAGTTAAGAATAGTAAAACTATTCGAAAACGTAAAAAGTTATGAGATACTACCAAGTTGGCTTAACATCTAAATATGTAAATCTGAAAATGATCCTGCACTAACGTACTTCTTGAAATTTTGTATTTACAGAACGTACCTTCTAAACTCTGTAAACTTAAAGGCTAGAAGATGCTTTTGTAGAAAGCAGATCGGAAAATAGTTGAAAGGTGAAGTTTTTTCGTTTAAACGCAATGTTATTTTATAAGTTTACAAGCCGTTCGCACTGAATACAAATACGAACGGAGCTTCACAATACTGTACATATTTAATGATTACCATGGTAATGCAAATTGAACAATTCGAACCCGTTTTCTTTTCTTCATGTTACACAGAAATAGTATGATATTCTTCAGTTTACAAACTGGCTCTATATAAGAAAATGGGCCCTAATTAAGAATGTTATCTTTCCTTTATTTCTTTGAGCTGAAACAAATAAATATTATTCCTTTTGTAACTGGCAACAAGTTAATAACTCGGAGTATAAGCAGAACATTTACTACATTTCCGTCACAAAATAGTGATGTTCATGCTGATGTACATATGAATGTATGTTACCGAATATACTCAACTCACACCGCGGTGTCTGAGTCAACCGAGTCATTTGGTTTAATGAGAATGTGCAAACCAAAATATCAGTTCAAAAAGCCTCGCGACGGGAAGCGGTTGTTAGAATTGAGCAAAGCTAAATATTTTTAGCTTTAACGTTCCCGGTGATTCTAAGAAAGAAGGAAATGTTCTACCATTCTGATATTTCCAAGAAACTATTGTTATAATTTAAGTATTAGCATCCATCTTGTGATTGTGTATTAGGCTCATCGGTGTACAATTGTTGCGGTGATCGACTGATAAGAGCCGAGACTAAGCTGAACAGCTCCACTCTGCCGAAACCACTGTGCCCCCAGAGGTCACGATGAGTTGCTGCTGTGGGAAACGAAAACGGGGCGAGGAGGAATCCTATCAGAGGTTCCAGAACGAGGATGTAAGTTTCTGGAAATTTTTTTTAGTGCTTCGCCAAAATTATGGTTAATTATTGGTGACAAATCGCCCAAGGCTCTTATCGAAACTGACAGGCGAACGCCTGAACTGATATAGAGATATGTAAAGTAGCTACATATGTATTTGTGCCATATATACAGGCACCCACGCACCGCTACATTTGTATGCGCAAACAACGCACGTTATCAAAATCGAAAAAGCTATTTTGGGGTCGATAAAAAATGTTGAGCTATAGGGCCGGTGGCCTCCACATAAATCAAATTCGGAACAGTACGGGCACAAACCCCCGCAATAGACACACGTAATTGGGCGTCAGAAATACCATACATTCAGTATCATCACATCTCGTTCATCAAATACGCGCTGAGTTCCACGCAGAGAGCGAGAGAGCCAGAGAGAGCGTAAGCTTGCCCAGAATCGCATCTGCATCGGGTAAAATCGCTAGCATGACGGCAATAATACTCCTGGTCTGCCACTCTGTTCGCGAACTCGTCGATCTGTCAGATGCGCTGTGGCAGAACGCCTTCAATATCGAGCGAAGTTTAAACTATTACCGCATCAAGCGCCGCTTGCAGCTGTTTCGATTTCATTGCCGCGAGTTTTGGTTGCGTCAGCCCCTGAATAACTCCGACTCGATGCATCGGAGGACAGACATCGATTTTGCAGCCGTTGAGGCGGGTGCAGAATGCATGGATACCTTCGACGACTCCACGAGGGAGCTGCACGCAAGATTTCAGCAGGCGGAGGGCCGGCACCTAACGCCTTTGGACTGGGACATCGAGGTGGTGGATGGAAAAGAGCTTAAAGTACGTAATCGGCAGACTTGAGCGCTATCGCCAAGTGTTTATTCGCAGTGTCTTAAAACTGGGGTTTGGCTATCCAATTATTGTCTAGTTTCAAAAAGGGAGGCACTAGCACATTCACATGTTCGTACACATGCCTCTCTCTTTCTGCGTCTTTGTTTTGACATTTAGCGTGCTCCCCAGTAATTCCAATGCTTCGCATTGTTGGGGAGCTTTTAACAGCTGTTCGACACAGTCGCCGTTTAAAAAGGTGGCGCGCTCGTTCGGTTTGTTTGGTTTTCAGTCGAGGCGTGTCTGAACTTAAGCAGTTTTCCGTAATTATCCAGTGTTATTGACATACTCTTCCTAAGCGATAAGCTCCGACACAAGCTGAATCAGCGGCTTAAACGCATTGTGCTGGTATATAATTGTTTGCACATCTGTTCAGACTTGATATAGTATACAGCGACTTTTGTTGTACGAGTCAAAGAGCTTTTGGCGTTGTCATAGCGGTGTAGTTTCAATTCTCTTCGAGCGAGTCATTCGCGAAAGACATCGAAAAATAATAACAACCTCCAAGTATCAGGCTCTTCAACCAAACTAATTTGTTTAGAACATTTAATTTTTATTTTTAACAGTTGAAGATTTTTCCCCGGATTCCACTAGCGCAAAGATGTATGTTTCACAACTGAAAAACAAAGACACTGAAAGTATATTATTTACTTGCGCAGTGCTTTAGCTTGAGTGTGTATTTCGATGTTCAATGTGCGGTGAGACATGTAACGAGCAAGGACGATGTTGAATCATTACTTGCTGTTTAATATAAAATATCGTTTCCTCAAACAAGACGGGATTTCCCTTATTTAGCTCTTGGATATTTTAAAATTTCTTAAATCCTACTAAAGTTATAAAATGTGCCTTAGGGTTTTGTGCGAGAAATTGCTTTGCTGTTGTCCTACAGCGAAAAATGGTGGCTTAAATGAGGTAAGCATGCAATGAAAACATAAGTGGTGGTTTTGGTGTTGTTTAAGAAGTCAAGTTAGTATTCTTGTACGTGCGTGTATTAATCAATTTAGGTTGTACTTGAAATAGCGACATACACGGTGTTAGCTTAATATGTCAGTAGGCCCCTGCTTTGCTATATTTCAAACTGTTTGGAATTTTAAAAATGTTGTCTTTCCTTGACATTAACCATGAACTGGCGAGGCAGTCATTCACTAATGTAAAAAGAGAAAACTGGGGCTTATAGTATTTTATTTTAATGGACATTACACATTATAGGCCTCATTTTACGACTACGCAGATCCAGTGCCAAAGTACTTCAACGATCAAATTGGCCAATTGAGAGAAGGGGTAAGTTTTACCGTTACTGGGAATCTAGCAGTAAACTGTGAGAGGTAAGCTAAATGGACAAGTTTATGTGATCTATTATAAACCATTTACCTATCCCCACAGGTTCTCCATCAATCTTGTTCATAACAACGAGACTCGAGATGTGGCGCTTCACATTAACCCGCGTTTGCCACAAAACTATATAGTTCGTAACACCAAAGTACAGGATATATGGGGCAGCGAGGAAGTTTCCTCGGCATTGCCCTTCCTTCTAAGTCGCGGCGACAAGTTTTCTATTCAAGTGCTTGTTACTGAGGCGTGCTATATGATTTCGGTAAACGGACAGCATTTTGCAACGTACACTCATCGCATTCCTTATAGGAATGTCAGCATTCTGGAAGTCAAAGGAGATGTGGGTAACGTGGAAATGCAGAGAACTTTGGTCTTAAACTATCCTCAACGGTTGCCCGAGTCGGGGGCAAAAAACATTGAGCTCCATATAGATGACGAGGTTGATGAAATTGACGCCAGCGTCGAGGAGACTGTCAAAATACCTCATGAGTGGTGCCTTATTAGCGCGCCGATCACACAGTCGGACAGTTCGCCTAAGAGTACCCACAGTTCAAATGATTTTGGGCTTACCTTGCCCTATTATGGAGCACTGCCGCCACATTCGCTGGTCGAAGGTCGATGTCTGAAAATTGAAGGACGAGTGCGCCTGCTTCCACACTCTTTCTACATAAACTTACAAAAGGGGGAGGACATTTGGCCACATCCAGTCGTAGCATTCCACCTCAATCCACGTTTTTCAAAAGCGAGCAGCGGTGCCATAGGCAAGGCGGTGGTGTGTCGTAATGCCTGGTTTGACGGAAGTTGGGCACAAGAGGAACGTTCGGAGTTGGACACAAACTTTCGTCCCGGCCGAACTTTCAGTTTGGTCATTGTGTGCACTAAAGACTCCTATGAGGTTTATGTCAATAGGCAATTTATGACAGATTTTAAATACAAGGTCGAGCCTTCGTTGGTTGATACCGTCTATATACAAGGAGATGTGAAACTTTGGAATGTTACGCTGGAACAAAATCCACTGATTAAGGGCAAGAATGTACGCGTCTATCACAACCCTTTGTACACTGATGAGTATTAGTTATCTGTGACTAGGCATCAACAACCAACGTAAATGGTTTTATTTCTTTGTTCTTGTTTTCTCAGTAATTAAGCGACAATAATTAAGTGATAGGCTGCTGTTTTTCATAATTTTTAAATAATGTACTAGTTTTTATCAATTAAAGTTACGGCGATATTTCCCGGTTTATATTATTGTAAGCTGTGTGTATCTATTTAAATCTAGAGTTTGGTGTGACTTTTATTATAAAAAGGGCACTGCCATTTCTTATAACGTCAAATTCCGTATCTAGAATGTATTATTCTTTTTTTATTTTATTATTCTCTTGTACAACACAAATTTTTCGAGTTCGCCTTCCTCAATAACACACAGTCGTCGAAAATGAGCAAGTTTATGAGCGTTTACCCAGGAGCTGGCACCGTAGCTCTCAGGCGGGTCATGGATGCTATGTCCTTGTTCTATGAAGAGCGCTCAGCGGCACATCGCCGCAAACACTTTAAAGTGATCCAATGTCCAAGGCCGGGGCTTTGTTTCGTCTTTCATGGAATGATTTTAAGTGCATGTGAGCATTTTGCCATCGACTTTCTTACAAAACAAGGAAGTGAAACATGCGAGGACTGCGATGTGCTGCTTCAAATAGGATCACGGCTTCCCCAAAACTATATTACGCGAAATTCACGCCTAAAAGGAAAGTGGGGTCCCGAGGAGAATTCATCCTACCTAACCTTTCAACTAAACCGTGGAAAGTCTTTTTGGATGCAAATTTTACTTACTGAGGAGTGCTTCTTAATTTCAGTGAATGGATATCATTTTGCGAAATATATTCACCGAATGCCATATCGTTGGTTGGAAGCTGTCGACGTACTTGGCGATGTCTCTGATATTGTTATTGACACATACTATGTGTCCGAGTACCCTATACGACTAACCCACTCATTGCCACAACCACTTCCACATTTAACAAAAAGTATCCGGGATGAAGAGAGCATGGATACCGAATGGAAGGTCTTATCTTCTTTAGCAAAGATGTCATCTAAGAAGTACCTGTACCAGCCGAGCCTACCCCTTCCCTTCTATGGAAAGATCTTTGAAGATGTGTCCCTCGTCGAAGGACGTGCGCTTCGAATTGAAGGTCGGGTACGTTTGATGCCCCAAAGATTCAGTATTGCGTTTCAGAAAGGACAGGAAATTTGGCCCCAACCCACAGTCTCGTTCTATTTTAGCCCATGCTTCTTGCGAAGTAGGCACGACAAAGTTGGTAAGGCTATAATTACTCGGCGTGCGTATTTAAATGGTGAGTGGGTAAACTGTACAGTGTCGCGCCTAAATACAAGTCTTAGACCAGGCGGCGCCTTTGTCATAGTAGTTGTATGCCGAGATACCTATTACGAGCTGTTTGTAAACAACAGGTCATTGTTTCATTTTAAGTATCAAATGAAGCCAGATCGTGTTGATATTGTGAACATCCGTGGAGATATTAAGCTTTGGGAAGTAGTCATCGAGGGAAGCAACATTATTAAAAAGGCAAAAGGTAATTACAAATTTCGCAAAATTGATTCATCAACTTACAATTACATCTTTTTTCAGGTCGTACTGCTATGGATCGTGCTATAAATGCCTGGAAGCGCACTGAAATACCGCAACTTGAAATATAATGTTATTTATGTCATCATTTATGTGTAGATTAATTAATAAGACACTTCGGAAATCAAACCTGTCGAAATCCTTGTTTTACAAATTTATAAGTCTGAGGCAAAAGCCTCCCTTTTTAGAGCCAGTATTGTATCCAAACGTAGATTTTTGATTTCATCTTTACCAAACACAGACGGATGCACTCAGTATTTCTGCAATTAAAATAACTATGCGCCCTGGAGCTCAGGCCTAGGGCCCCGCGCAGCGCTTCATCTCATAAATGTCAATGTGATGTCGACGTCAAGTGATCGTCTGCCCATAAGCAGCTCGGATAGCAAAAGCAGTCTTCGCTACCAAAAGCAGACTGCAGTCCACCGGCTCTGGCCTCTTGAAGGGCCTCGGAAATTGATTATTAAAAATGATAATCGATTAAGGACACTGTATGGCCGTACTGCCAGAGTCGTCACTGGAAAGGCTGTCCTGAATTGACGTTTATGTCTACATGTGTTTCTTAAGACAGTTGACATTGTTTTGTCATGGCCAGCAAAAAACGGCAAAATAAGTCAAGCCGAAAACGTCAAGCCTGCTATTTTTCCCAAGGCTTGCCAAAGGATGTTAAAAAGCGTCTGTAAAGAAAAAAATATTATTTATTGTTTAAGTCTGTACGTGTCACGCATGCCTTGGACCATTTTGCTAATGAAGTGGATTACTGATAGATGATGTGGCGCTTGCATCAAATATTTATTTCTTTGTTAAAGGAAAACTTTATTTCAAATCATTTTCAAGTTAACAAAATTTATTATTAATTTGCATTTGTATTTTTTCAAGAAAGATCTTTATTTACATTTTGTAATAGCTAAAAAAGGCCAAAAACGATAAAACTGTAGAATTTCTACTAAATAAAATATGTACATCCCACTTATTCCTTAATTGTTACAATATTTATATTTTTCGTGTATGAACAATGTACATTGTACATATATGAATTTAAAAGGGGCTATAACTTTGCTATTATTCCAAATTAACCTAATATGTATTACTTAAGAACAATATAATTACATTATTTATTTTATATTTTTATCCTGATTTTGATTTTTGAATGGAGACTTCCATAAAAATCCTTCCTCTGTCGTTCCTTGGAATCGATCATTTTGAGTTACAAAAAGGGGCAGCTTCTTTGATTCCTGAGCGTAGCGGCGGTCTGGTCGCAATCATTCCTCTTTAATATCGTTAACTAGCTGCCTTACGTTTAATAATTTAATATTGTATTAACCACCAGGTTTTTCTGGTTTGGGAAATCTGAAAACGTCATTCAACGTGCTTGACATCTTTTTCATTTTGTCAAAAAGTGCTATCATTTGTCAGCCGAAATGATGTTATTAAGTTTAATCAGATTGTTAAATTGGTTGATTAACCTTAGGGGTGACTGTAAGACTTAAACTAATAAAATATAGGTTACACCCTAAAGCATAAAAATGTCTTTACCAACAGTTGTATATTAATTTCGGTTCCCTGTCTGTTGGTTATTAATTTTAATAATTTGCTTTTGATCTCCCACTTTTCATGAACCTCCCACCCCCTTACTCCTCTGAAAAAATCCTGGCTACGCTCTTGGTTTAATAATTGAAAAGTTCCGACCAAACAAGACCAATCAAATAACACAAATTTGGGCAGGCGGTCAGTACTGAGCTGAGAAGTAAATGGAAACAAATGCATTCGCACCAATTTACAACAAGATGTTGTCCTCGCCGGACTGCGCCGATTAGCCAGGCAGGCGCAAAATGAGTAAGGCTTATCAATATTCCGAATGTGTACTCGTGTCACACAGAACACTGCAATCAATGGCTCCGCAGTGCGGTAGCCTGGCTACATTCTAAATTAAACCTCAATTGAGGTTTTGTCCTCTGTTCCTCCTGCTTCTCCTCGGTGCTCCTGTGTCTTTGGGCTTGCCACAGCAGCTGCCACTGCCAATTGTTTGAAATGGTCAACGGAATGCAACCCGTTTCGTATTCGACGTAAGCATCCAGCGAAACTGAATGCTCGTTGCCCGGCAGGCCGAATTGCAAACCGTCCAAAAACGAAGTCATCGAAAAATTGGTGCGTGGACATTTGTATGGAACTTGGACTGCCGACGACGCCATTCGAAAAAAGTCCGCGAAATCAATCACTTTTTGCCCAGTTTGCAGTGCATTGTGTTTATTATCATGTGTATGTGCTAATCCCGTGGATTCACACTTACTGATCGGACGGCAGTGTCAATGCGAGTTCGCACTGTCAAAATCAATTACATACCAAAGGAAAGACAGTAGCCATTTGTGTGGACTCCGGATTAACGAGGACACCTCAAGTTCCAATCTTGAGGACAGAATTTATTTATAGTAACACTTAAATAAAGTGTTTGGCATTGGACATTTTTCAATATTTTTCGTTAAACAATTTTATTGTTTAGTTATTAAGCCGAAGGAGTCATAAAAGAATAAAAATATTCATTTACATTCAAGTATCACTAAGACTGTCCTTGCCCATTGCTGTCAGCGATAAATCCGCTAAATGGGAAGATGCAGGTTATTTTTCCAAACAGACATTTAGAGCCCTCGTTCCTGCTTTAAGCATGTTGTATTTATACCGGCATGTTTGAATGTGAGCTCCTCCAACTAAGGGACCCACGATCAGACTGGAGCACCGGGTCTCGATTTCTCAGAATATCGCCCGAGATCAATCTTACACTCGTTTGATTGCATATTTTTATATGGTAGTTGGACACATCGTTCGTTCGCATCCTTTTTCGGTGTTCGTTGCCATGCCTTCAGCAGCCGGCGGCGTCGGCGTCTGGTTCTTTGCTACTTTTTTGTTTTATAAAGAACGTCTTTAACTTTTCGAAGCTCATTGAAATACCAAAATTTCAGTAATTTAATTGGTGCCAGACAGCCAATACTACAGAATATTAAAAACTTTAAAGTTGGAACTAAGCAGCCAGCTAATGGTGAGGAATGAAAGTTATATCTATACTATCAATGCTAATCATTTTTGTAGTGCTATCCATTCAAACCGCGACTAATAAATATAAAAAGGTAATCTTATTTTTTTTTTGCCCATAGCATCCAAAATGTAAAGGGAAATACAATTTAAGCTGGTAAAAAATATTTTAAGTAACCAATATTTTTAAATTTTTTATCGAATGAAAAAATTGTTTTTAGCTGAATCTGACAGTGAACTACATTTTAAGTTTCATAATTAAAGGCTAAGGGACAGGGAATAAACAAATTGTATATAAGTACTTATATATAGGTACGCCTTAAATCTCTTCAAGCCCCGTTGTGTCCATACTCGGAAATGCACACAGATTCTCTTTTTAGTGTGGCACATTTGGCAAGAATAGTCAGACAAGTGGGAGTGGGATTATGAGTGGGTCCAGCAGGGCATATTGCGTAGACATATGGACATCCTGGCGCCAATTCATTGCGCATGTCTTGGATAACTGAGATGGTATGGGTTTGGGATGGGTGCGAATGCAAGTGGACACAGATGGTAGGAGTTGAAATACGTTCAATTTAATTTTGTAGTGCAAATAGGCGGCGTCACATTTCTTACACGTTAGTACGGTATTGTGTTATTTGCACTGTACTGACTGATTTAATGGAAAAACTGTATTTTTCTGAGCGTAGATAAATGTAATAATTATAAGAACACCCGGTGGTCGCTGAGACGCTTTAAGGAAAAAGTTGTCCTCAGCTACTCTCTGTAAGGGATTAAACTCAAAAGAGATTTAAATCCTTGGATATCAAAAGCTCAAAGGGCTCAATAATTAATCATTGCTTTAAAGGCTAAACTCGCTTCTGAAATGGTAATTTAAAGCCTTACAATTTATTGTGCATACTAAAACTTCCAATTCCAATACATTCTTGAGTCACCTTTTTTTTTTCTTACGCCTTGCGTTCCTAAAGTATAATGCTAAACATCAAATTATGCCAACCAATCAGAGCAAATCATCTTTTTAAGTTTCGTGCTCAAATCGAATCAACCCAAACTTGAAAATATGGACTCGTATGTAGAACAGTTCTATATCTTTAAAATTTTCTCACGCAATCGAGTAAACAAGTCAAGACAGAAACGGTTTAGACAATGAATGCCGAAAAGGGGTCCTAAATAGTAAACATTCAATTCCTTGCCTCGATTAACTTACGCCCAAACGGATGTTTGTATGCCACTGCAAGTAATGTTTTTTTTTAAGCAAGCAGGAAACAGGAGAAATTCAATGGTATTGAAGTTTCTTTTCTCATGTTCGTAGTAAGACAAAAGTAAGTTAAAAATCTAATTTTAGCTGATAAGAAAATCGGCATTAGTAACTCTTAAGAGTCCCTTTTGATATTATCAAGCTGTTAACTAATAACTTTGCCATCTGCCTGTAATCAAAAATGGATTGGAAACTTAAACGAATCAATGATTAAAAGATATCAACAAATGCATAACTCCGAAGTCTGGCGCCAAGTGACATTTACGCACTGCAAGATTGACGCCAACACCACTACCAACTCGGGTGGTACTTTTGTTTCTGCGTCTGCGCACCCTGCCTTGCTCATCGCCTATCTGTCAATTTAAATTCTTGTCTACCACGTCAATTACGCACTCAAAATAACAACAAACAATCGCAGACAGGCGGCTGTTCTTAAGTTATAGCAAATTACGTGATAATTGGCCGCACAGTCAGCGATGTGCCGTGAGGAGCATGCGGGCAATGATTAGTCAACGCGAATTGGGTCATATTTCAGCAAAATACCCGAACATGTGTAGGTGAGTTCCATCTCGTGGCAGATCAACTGTAACAAGTGCAACCGCGCTTGGTTCAATCAGATGCATTAATGTCCTTATGAATTTACGATTCGAGTTCTTCGCATACATGCATGTGAGAAGTTAATTTTAAATATTTTACTCGACAATTGCTAGACATACTTTTGGCATGCAATAAAGAGTGTCTGTCGCGCCGTGTCGCCTAATAGCTTTCCTTCCTTTCCTTTGTTTTATTTTTTTGCGTTTTTGCTTGGTCAACTATGGCACTGCCACAAGCCCGCCAGTCTGGTTTT